AACGACAAAACCGCATTTTCGAAGGATATGGTTGAATCTTTAAGGAAAGACATATTTTTTCACCATGACATACCAAATTTTTAAAATGTTATTCGAATGCTTGATGACGTAATGACTATGACGGATGTTACCAACGAATCACCAGATGATGAAGAAAAAGACGACGATGGGGAACAACAAGCACAGATTCATATTTCAACAACTTCTGCTGTTGACCCAACAACTAATCCGATTCATTCAAAAGCATCTTGTGACAACAAAGACAAATCCATCGAAGGTGCATCTTCACGACGTCGTTCGTGGACTATTCAAGAAAAATTGAATGCTTTTAATGCATTTAAAAAATGCAAAAATATTTCTCTAGTTAGTCGACAACATCATTGTGATAGAAAACAACTTCGAGAATGGTTGAATAAAGAACAACAACTTTTATTGATCAAGAATCAAAGCAATAGGAAAACACTAAAACGGTTAAAAGGTGCTGGTGCTAAAATTTGTCACAAAGAACTTGATCAACAATTAATTAAATGGTTTGCATTAAAACGTACAAATCCCGACGACGAAACGTCAACAGCGCCAACAGAAATAAAGAAAGAACGAATTACATTTAAAAATTTGGTATGTCATGGTGAAAAAATATGTCTTTCCTTAAAGATTCAACCATATCCTTCGAAAATGCGGTTTTGTCGTTTTCTTAAAAGACATAATTTATCCTTGCAAAAGCCAAAACGTCAACAAAAGATTACGTTTTCTGAAGCTCATAGTAAAGTTAACGATTTTTTAACATTTGTAAGAAGAAGTGCTTCTCGTGTATTAAATTTTTGCAGGTGATAACAGTCGGGTAGGACCAGCTTTACTTTTTAAAGGAAAAGGACGAGTATCAGAACAAGAAAAAAAACAATACGATAAGAGCGTCAAGGTTTATTTTAGTACTACTGCTTTCATCAATTCATCTATCATGAAAAATTATACTGAACATTTGTTAAATAAAACGAGAGACGGTCGTCCAAAAATGTTTATTACAGATTCTTGTAGTTGTCATTTCAACGAAGATGTAAAAGCTTTATTTAAAAAAAATAGTGTAGTATTAGGAATAATACCTGGTGGAATTACACAATACATCCAAGTCTTAGATATATTTGTTTTCAGTACTTATAAAGCACATTATCATGATGTTGCTGAAGAATGGATCGAAGTTAATGGTCTAAAATCTACCATTAAACTTACTTGTTCACAGCAAAGAATACTGTGCACGCGTTTAGCAAGCACGACTTGGAAAAGGACATTGAACAGTGTAAATGTTTCTCAAAGTTTTAGAAACTTAGGGTACACCTGGATTGATAATAGTGTAGTGACAATAAAATCTTTACCAGGTTATTCTTTTGATCCGGCATCTTTAAATTTCGGAAATGATATTGAAGATGAAAGTAGTTTAGTCGAAGAAATCGATAAGGTCATGGTAATGGAACCCGTAAGAGCTTTAAAGCAAAGTTCATTGCTTTCGTTTTGGAATAAATAATTATATTGCTAATTATATTTTTGTTTCTTATACTATATTGTGCATTTTTGTTAGACGATAAACTGTGAAATGTGCAGCGCTTATCTTTGTGAAACTGTCGTGAAATTTTTTGTAATAACAACATAGAATTGTGTAAATAAACGAAATCATGAAACTGATGAAATTTTATTCATCGCTGCTTTTAAGCTTGCATAAATCGCGCTCTTCAAGGTGAAAAAGTTTATCGTAATAGAAGCCCACCTTTAAACCTATAATTTTAGAAGCAAATTAGAAGCCCAATGGGCTTCTAATCCCCCCCCCCTTATCTCAAGAATTACACATTCTATTGGGCTGAAATTTTGAGAGCATTCTAAGTGTCATAATGCCTAACTATGGACAACATTTCAGTAAAAAATCTCATATTTTGATTTTTTCGTACGTCCCTTGATAGGGGTCGAAAACACAGTAAAGCCGCTATAGCGTGAGAACGAAAGCGTATCGACACGAACCCTTATAGGCTTCCTCTAATCTCACATAGTTCCTATTCAAAACAGCGATTCACACTTGGAGACCTTCCCTCGTGAGACTGGTCGTAGCAGATCTCTATATTACTCACCCACCCCTCACCTGCATTTGTACTTAAGTGTCATCTTCAATCTGTACATCTTCCACGGATTTTCAGATCCATTAGTTACAAATTTGAGCGATTCTAGCTAAAATGTCTCTATATTTGGAACTCATTTTTGAATGATCTTCTTCATGCTATGCTACGCCCTTATTTTTTTTTCTATTCCCCCGTATTGTACACACATACACACATGTACATTTATTGATGTTCTTCAGAAGAAACAACAAAAAATAATGATAAGCGACACAACATAAATATTGCTGCATAAGTGAGTAATTTGTCACACATTCTATTTAATGGCCTCATCGACAGCAATCGAAACAAGTAACAACGAGCTAGATGAAGGAGAAAAGTATCGACTGCCACGGGATAATATCCTTCAGCAAACGGTGACGTCTGTATTTGCAAGTGGATATCCATCGATTAAATCTCCAGAAGAGGCCGTTAAATTTCTTTTTTCAAAACATCATCATCATTTATGGCACAAAATCAAACATAAAATAGTTCATCATGAGGTGACGCAAGAAGAAATTGATGTTGCCGCCAGATTTGGACGATTTTTTCAACGACCCAGTGATCTCTTTCTGAAGGTAAAACGAATACACATACAGACCAAAAACATCTTTCAAATTTTGCCATTAATTTGTAGCTATTCTACAGTGTAATTTGCACGCTTAAACATGATCCATTAGCCGGTCGTGTATCACCAGCAGTAATCGGTTCGACAGGAGTGATTCCTCTTACAATTATTTCCACTATACCCGATATTATGCGTCACTACTATCATATAATTGTTCACGCTCAAAAAGAAATTTTATTTTCTACAATGTATTGGGAAAAAAGTGAAAGTGCCAATATTATTGGTAAAGCTTTTCTAGACTTAAGTAAATGTGCCGGTTGCGAAAATCGGCATGTCATCATCAAACTCATGATGGATCATCCAACAATATCAAATGCAACTCAATTTCATTCTATTATTCCACCAAGTAAATGGTCCTATTACAATATTCCCAGTCCAGAAGAAATACCCAATATTTCACTGGAAGTCCATAATTATCATCATATCATTATGGGTACATTTCATGTGAAAGTTTTAATTGTCGATCGAAAACTTGCTCTATTGAATAGTAACAATATTCAAGATCGACCCAATCTTGAAATGATGTCGCATTATGAAGGTGATATTGTCAATTCGTTTCACGATAGATTTCTTATTTCCTGGTGGCTTCCTTTTCAACCGAATCTTGTCTGTTTAAACAATAATGCACCAATGGAACAATATTTTCATTTCGGTTTCGATAGTTCGACTATTGCATCGGTAAAAGAATCGATATGTGAAGCAATAGCTACAGCTGGATCACGACTCAAACATCTCGAAGTTGAAGAAGCACAGGTCTATCTCGATGAACAGAAATTTTCTTCGCC